CTTCACGCCGCCAGCATCGGGAGAAACCATCACGCTGCTCTTCCATTCTGGAATGTTCTCTTTGATCCACTTTGTGGTAGCTGGTTCAGCGTAAAGATTGTCTACGGGGATGTTGAAAAAGCCTTGGATCTGTGATGAGTGCAGATCAATGGTGATCACATGGTCCGCTCCAGCTACCGATATCAGATTGGCGAGAAGTTTAGCTGTGATCGGAGCTCGGCTTTTTTCCTTCTTATCTTGTCTGCAGTAAGGGAAGGCGGGGATGACGGCAGTGACTCTAGAAGCTGATGCAATCTTGCAAGCGTTGATCATGATAAACAGTTCCATTAGGTTATCATTGATTTCTCCGCACCCGCTCTGGACAATGTAAACATCTTCGCCTCTGACCGACTCGCCAATTTCTACGTTTGTTTCTTTGTTGGCGAATTTCTTTGCAGTAGCTTTTCCCAGAGGTAGGTTTAGCCTCTCGGTGATTAGCTTGGCGATTTCAGGATGGGAGCTCCCGCTGAAGACTTTGATGTTGGGCATTCTGGCGTTGGGGTTTAAAAAGTGTTTCTTTCTTTCTTCTTCTTGAAGTTTTGTATTGTCTTGATCTTCGACTTTCATTAGCGTTTGTGTTTGCCAGCTAGTGAAGTGTTCACTGGCTGGTGTCCACTTGAGAAATGTTATTTATTTTGTAGTTATTTGCTCAGTAAATAATCTTATCTGTGCCGTGTGGGGTCAGGTCATATGATGCCCCTGGCGATGGAAGTGTACGCATATAACTTATCTGTCTTATTACAGAAGTACAATTGTTAAGTAAGCAAGTGTAGGTAATTATTTATCTATTACTAGCTGCCCGTCAGCGGTTTCACCCGCTGCAACCTATTATTACGCGGGAAGAAAGCATTACTCGCCAAGAGATGTCGCTGTTAGTTTCTAAAACGCGAATCGGCTCAGTCGGGCCACCTTTTTCATAAATATTGGAAAATGCGTGATCCCGTGGGAATGAGACATTTTTCCGTGGTAAAGAGTATATGCTATTCCAGATGCCCTTTTATATTTCTGCAAAGTTTCATGTCAATCTAATCAGCCGTTTTTGCGTGAAGTCGTAACAAACACACACGTAGGAAGTATAGCAAGACCAGTGTGTAAGATTTTCCAATATCGTAAGACAAAACATAACGTCGTGTGGTGCCGGCAGAGGAGAATAGCACCACCCCCTCTCTTCCCGTGGGAGTCGTAAGAGGCGACCGAGGGATAAACCCGACCCAAACAGCCAGGCCAACCGTATGGTGGCGGTTAATCCACCACAAAAGCATTCCCAATGAGGGTTGACGTCTGTTAGGCGGCCGGTCGTAAAATTAAGCCGAATCCATTGCAGCACGATTTTGTGTTTAGCAAAACGTGTTGCGCCGACCCCAAGCAATTGGGATAAGAGCAGGAAGATGATGTAAGACAAAACTTAAATTAAATAAAAGTTCGAAAAAATAAAAACAAAAATAAGGAGAACACTATCCGGATTCGAACGCGAGTCACCTTGTTTGGTAGGCAAGCGCACTATCGCCGCAGCTACCATGACTTTAAGATCACTGTTGAATTAACGGATATGCTTCCCCACAAAGACGCGAATCGGCTCAGTCACGCCACCTACGTCAAAAATTTTGGAATATGCGTGATTCCGTAGAAATGAGACATTTTCCTGGGGTAAAAAGTAGCCTATGTGTTATTCCAGATGCCCTTTTATATTTCTGCAAAGGTTCATGTCAATCCAATCAGCTGTTTTTGCGTGATGTCGTAACAAACACACACACAAACATCCGCCTTTATAATATTAGCAGGATTATCGGTTCTACGTATTGCCGAAATTTTCCTGGGATTCTGTTTACTTAACAACGAGATTATGATGCTCACTTCCGAATGATTTAAAATTACTGCTGCAGTCTAATCTAACGCAGCACTAGCGCATGCGTCTGTTAGTCGCATAAACATATTGAATTTCCCATACTAATAGCCAACGTTAAAATAACGCAACTCAAGTTTATGCGTTGCGATATTTGAATCAGCGCAGCGCAGAAACTTAATTGAATGCATCTGACAGACGCATACGTTAGCGTAACGCTAAATAAAATAGCGTAGCAACGGACGTAACGTGTGGGTCCCGATTTCATAAAAATGTTACACCTTACGGAATAGGGAATAAATAATATTTTGACTACAAAATAACACTTTCTGCTTTGTAAACATTGTTTACGAGCCTAGGGAATTCTCTGCCGACAGTATTTCAAAGTCGAAATTCAGTAAAATACTTAGATAACAGAATATTCCCCGGTATTTTGTAAGTTAGAAAGTAGGTAAATACTTATTCGAAATTTTACGTTGTTCAGCCGCAAAATATTTCTCTGAGGCCTAACCTAGTTTTTGCAGGTAAGCACCAGAAAATAAGTATTGGCAGGTGCGCCGATTACCTACGTACCTATAGTTAGATAGGTAGGTAGGTACTCTTTTTATCTTAAGTATACAGAATTTATTATTTGGGTGTTCAAAATTCCTTATTGATTTTTAATTATCTACGCACTTAACCTATGCTGACTACGTTCTGTAATGACAGCGAAAGTTTTAAAACTTACAAGTGAGTAGTATAGGTAGGTACACACACATATTTAATTAGCAGCTAGTCGAATTAGACTGTATGAAATAACACAACAAAACCGAATTGTTTTAAGTACTTTTTATTACAAATAAGAGGCTGTGTTATATTAATTTATATTTAAGTACCAAAACACAGCCATGTAAACAAAATAAGCAAATTTTAGAAGTACATGTAGGTATAGGTGCCTTCCTAATACTTATACATTTATTTTTGAACGTATTTACTAGCTACTCCCCTGATCAGATTAACTTTACGACGATTTCTTCCTGACTCTGCAGCTGACACAAATTAGCCCACGCGACCACATTTCTATAGTTATCAAAATTGTTATATTTTTCATCTAAACCGTACACATTAATTTCTCTTATCATATTAAACCAAGCACCGTTCTGAGAGTCACAGAAAGTTGTAAAGTCATCACCCAGGGCATGTATTTTCATTTCTTCAGAATTTGCTTCCATAATGATTGTCATATTTTCGTTCATATACAATTCCCCTTTTGCTTTGCAAACAGTAACGTTTTCAGCCCTTGAAGTTTCTGTTGTGTTAGAGACTTCGCAGTCAAGAGCTACCGTCAAGTAGAATGATGAAGTTTTACGTGTTTCTTCAGCTGTTTCTTTCGTGTCCTGAAAACAGAAATCTCATTAATTATTGATGGAACATTCAAATATTCAAAAGTTATATGCCAGTCTCAGCCTTACAGGGGAAAGAGAAAAATATTTTTAGAAGGAACTCTGCAAAGAGTTAGAGTGAAGACAAAAACTCCTTTCGCAAGTTTTAAGTACTTTTAGAATCTGTTTCTAATGCAAAGTAGGTAGGTTAATCTGCATTTTTTGAACATTCAGGCTGGGCAGAGTCAATATACCTATTTATTTAAACCGACTAGGTATTACACGGGTCTCACATTTTTTTACGGCAGAAGGAATGAATTGGAGGCTTGGTTTACTTTTTAAGTAGAAAAGTAATGTTTTAATGGGATCAGTGCAAAGTAGAGTTCTCTTCCTTCTAAACAATATAAATGGCTCAAAGACTTACCTTCTGCATAACAACAATGGAGCCACCCCTGATAAAAGTTAAGAAGTCAGCAGCGGTCGTTGCCATGGTGACAGTTTCCCCTTCTTCAGCCAACAAAGCCTGACCTCCCAGGAACTCGAACCAGCGGCCCGGAGGCATTTGTATGTGTACATGACTTTGGCTGGGCTGCAAATTCGGGGCTATCAAAAGATCGTCGCCAACACTGAACTGGGTTTTTGAATTCGTCACGTTCGAAAACGGAAATTGATAGAACATCGGTCTGAGTAGCGGCCCTTTTTGCAACGTAGTGTAGAAATAAGGCAGAAGGCTGTATCTTTGATTTATTGCCTTTAGAATATTTGCTTTATTCGTGCCGGTAAAAGCTAGAGGATGTCTGGCGGTTTCTTTGGAGTGTGTTTTAATAAGTGGTAGGTAAGTGGCCGCCATGTACCACTTCACACACAGCTGTGTTTGAGTTGTGTCATTGTAACTGGAATCGCCGCATATCGGTGAGGAAGTGAACCAGTTCCCGGAAATTCCGGCTAATGCTACTTCAATAAGCTCTTTCTGTAGATTCGCCCACGACGCGTGTACATTTTGCCTATTTGCGATTTCACCAGTCATCCTTAGGGTTGAAGTGTACACAGGGATACGTTTTTGTAATGTGCTCCTAAAAGCTTCCCTGAAATGGTTGCCGTATTGATTGTGTGTGTACATGTAAATGGTGTCGTTCGGTCTCCTGACGTTCCATTGGGGAGTGCTATCGAAGGCTGCTTCGAAATGCTGAAACAAAAGTAAATATTTGGTGTTTTTCAACTTTTTCTCGATGCAAGTTAAACATTTGATCTTTCTATCTGTTTGTTCAAGTAAGCAAAATATTTATTCATGCATCGGGAATAGGGATTGCAATCCCGCAGCTCATTCAATCCCGCGGGATACCGCACGTATGAAATAATGTTAAAAGTCGAAAAGAAGCGGCAATCATTCTTTCAAAATTAACTTTCATTAATTAAGTTTTCAACAATTCTCACATTTTGCAAGAAGAATACCTATTCGTTTTCAAACATACTATAACAGCCACAATAAAGTCCACTGCTGAACATGGCCCTCCCCTAGGCAGGGGGGTATTTGCCATTGGTCACCACGCTTGGCAGGCAGGTTGATGAGCGATTGGTTGGTTGGTTTTCTAACATAATATTAATATTATAATAAAATGACTAAGATGTGAATACCAAATTTTAAAACACTTCTCGTGTTAGGTAAACAATTTTTGGAAAACTTCCAAAATTTTCACCGCAGGCAGGATTTGAACCTGCCACCTTCGGCATCAGTACTGCCGACGCCCTAACCAAGTACCGCGGTAGCCCAGTTGGTTAGGGCGTCGGCAGTGCAATACTGATGCCGAAGGTCGCAGGTTCAAATCCTGCCTGCGGTGAAAATTTTGGAAGTTTTCCAAAGACTAAGATGTGACTGAAAAACTTGGTTTTTTGCTGATATTTTACAAATTTGCGGGATCCGCGGATCCGAGTTTTGAAAATGCGGAATCCCGCAAGGCAAAAATTGGCACGGGATTGCGGAATCCCGTTTTGCGGGATTGCAAACCCTAACTGAAAGATGACAAGGACGTAGACATACGCAGGGCCTACAGCGTACAGAAAATGTTTTGTGATTATAAGGAGCGATGTTAGTTTAGACGTTTTTGTTGTTTTTTATTAGACAAGGTAGATGACACCAAATAAAATAAATAGAGATACTTACGCACGTAAATTGAAAGTATTAAACTAAATTTCAATTTACTTTTTTACACGTTTAAGTTCTTTTAAAAAGTTTATAGAAAATTAGTTTCGGCAACAAGACATGAACTACCTATGTTTATAAAAAAATATATCAGTTATTTATATTAGCTTTATTAAGGTAAAATTACTTGAATATAATTGAATAACTTGCAAATTTCTTAAGCCTCAGGCAAGATTCGAACCTTTGTCCTTTGCTATCAGAAGTACATACCTTGCCTACCTACTAGCTAGGCAACGCCCTTTTGAGAGGGTTTTAGATGAGAAACACACGTAACGTCCGTTTGTGCGTTATTTTTGTGGTGCGTAATGCATGCGTTAGGACAATACGAATTTTCTCAATAATCCCTTTCAATTCAAATACTGTTATGGGTTTATATGGAACGGTTTGACAGAGGAATCAGTCGACGCAACGTTGTGCGATACCTTCGCAGCGCTAATGAAAGCATCTGTCAAACCGTTTGACATGACCGGTTTTTTCTTGAAAATAAGGAGGAAGTTCGTATTTTCCAAACGCATGCATTACGCAGACCTCAAGTTTTTTTACTGTAACGTAGTCCTGCATTTGTTTGCTATCTCATTTGTTGGTAGGTGATGATGCAGACGATGTTGGAACATGCTTGCCTAGGTAGTGCCTATTCACTCTTGCCTTGAAAAGGCCCAAGTTTTAATTTTCCGGAATCAGATTTGCCGGCAGGGATGCTACGTGTGATTCTCGCAATATTCTCTCTCACAAGAGCGTACCTATTGAATCGCGGCATTACCTGCCAGCGGTGAAATAAATGAATACCTAATTAGCTAAGCGAATTTTGATTGATCATAATCATCCATCATCAATTTATTATTAAAGGATTTACATAGCAAGTGAATACTGTGAGGCGGGGTTCACATGTAACGACTATTGTTGCGAGTTATTTTAGAGCAGCGCTTACGCATGCGTATGTCAGATGCATATGTCGCAGGAAATCAGCGCATTCCCGGAAAATGGCGAAAAGTTTTTATCTCATCAGATCAGAGGTCTGTCTAACCATGTCAGAAGCCTGTCAACCATGTCAGAAGTCTACCTAACCATGTCAGGGGCCTATGAAAAATGTCAGAGGCCTACTGCCTAAATAGTTTTTTTCTGCGTATTCCCTAGAAAATACGTTTTAAGTTTTAGGATTGCGCGGATTTCCTGCGACCATACTTTCAAATCCCCCACACCTACTAAAAACTGATATGAAAATAATGCAACTCAGAAAATTGTGTCGAAAGAGCGGAGCACAGAAACTTGTATTGCGTTATTTTGACGTCGAATTTAGCGCGAATATTTGAAATTTGTATGCATATGACAGATGCATTTAAAAAGCCCCTTAGTACCGGTATGCTACAGTCCCGCTATGCTACCTTTTTCGAATAAGTAAAAAAATGGAAAATACAGCTAGAGACGTTACGTATGGGTGTCGCTTTTACCTCACTAAAATACGGCAACAATAGCCGCGTCTTATTATGAAGCTTCACGGATTGATCTACAGGCGAGGTATTCTCCAGCACGACCGCATCCACTTCCGGTCCACTCCACAATTGCTGCATGAACTCTTCAGAAGCCATTCCGTAGGGAATGCAAGTTAACAGTTACAAAGTTTCTTAACCCTTAGCTATCAGGAAACGGAATCACTACTAGAATACATAGCCTAACACATACACACACACACACAACACACACACACACACACACAACACACACAACATACACTCATACACACACACACACATGCACGCACGCACGCACGCATCCATACCGTTACTTCACATAAGTATTAATTAATTTTTGTACTCTTACTATTATTCTTTTTCTTTTAATTATTATTATTATAAATTATTATTATCATTGTAATTGTAATTTTTATTAAAATTTAATCAAAAAATAGATTTTATTATTATACCTATGACAGACGCATGCGTTAGTGCGCCGCTAAAATAACGCCTTACCTACATGTGGGTCTCGGTCTTACCTCATTAAAATACGGCAACAATAGCCGCGTCTCATTATGAAGCTTCACGGTTTGATCTACAGGCGAGGTATTCTCCAGCACGACCGCATCCACTTCCGGTCCACTCCACAATTGCTGCATGAACTCTTCAGAAGCCATCTCGTAGTCGGGGTAAACGACCGGTTCATTGTTAACCTATCCTAACCAATCCTAACCTAACTGTGTCAGGAGCCTGTCAACCATGTCAGAGGCCTACCTAACCCTGTCAAGGGCCTGTTTACTACGTCAGGAGCCTATGAACCATGTCAGAGGCGTACCTAACCATGTCTGGATCCTGCTAGATTTTTTCCAGGTATTGTCAGGGAAATATGCGAAATCCAGGATTTCGCGGATTTCCTGCGACCATACTTTCGAATCCCCCATACCCACCTACTAAAAACTGACATGAAAATAACGCAACACAGAAACTTGTGTTGAAACAGCGGAGCGCAGAAACTTGCGTTGCGACGCGTCGCGACGTCGATTTTAGCGCAAAGAATTCGAAATTTGTATGCATGCATACCTTTGCGTTAGTGCGCTGCTAAAGTAGAATAAAACAAAAAAAAAAAGCGCGCAACAACGGTCTTTACGTGTGGGTGTCGTTCTTACCTCATTAAAATACGGCAACAATAGCCTCGTCTCATTATGAAGCTTCACGGATTGATCTACAGGCGAGGTATTCTCCAGCACGAGCCCATCCACTTCCGGTCCACTCCACAATTGCTGCATGAACTCTTCAGAAGCCGTTTCGTAGTCGGGGTAAACGACCGGTTCATTGTTAACCAATCCTAACCTAACCTAACCTAACTGTGCCAGGAGCCTGTCAACCATGTCAGAGGCCTACCTAACCCTGTCAAGGGCCTGTCTACTACGTCAGGAGCCTATGAACCATGTCAGAGGCGTACCTAACCATGTCTGGAGCCTACTAGATTTTTTCCAGGTATTGCCAGGGAAATACGCGAAATCCAGGATTTCGCGGATTTTCTGCGACCATTACTTTCGAATCCCCGATACCTACTAAAAACTGTCTTGAAAAACACGCAACGCAGGAACTTGTTTTGAAACAGCTCAGCGAAGAAACTTACGTTGCGTTATTTTAACGTGGATTTTAGAGCGTTGAATTCGATATTTGCATGCATCTGAAAGACGCATGCGTTAGCTTTGTTCTATAACAGCAACCAGATATCACGTGTGTGCGTCGCCTAGCTTACCTCATTAAAATACGGCAACAATAGCCGCGTCTCATTATGAAGCTTCACGGATTGATCTGCAGGCGAGGTATTCTCCAGCACGACCGCATCCACTTCCGGTCCACTCCACAATTGCTGCATGAACTCTTCAGAAGCCATTTCGTAGTCGGGGTAAACGACCGGTTCATTGTTAACCAATCCTTGGTACACTGGAAAACATATGATTGATATTTAGCATTTTGTGAATTTGTTTCCAGTCTGGTTAGGATATTTTGTTCGAGAGCAACATGGTTCCGTGCTTAGGAGGGGACAACTATCCCAATATAGATAGGGTGTTTCAGACTATGAAATTGAACAACTTCCCCTAAGAAAATATTTCAGGGGACGTACATTTTTTTGAAAATTTAACGAAAAGTAATTTTTGTTCGGCCAAAAAATAGTGCTGAAATAGTGATAATTAGTGACCCATGTGAAATAATTAGTGACTTTATGGTTCTGGAGATGTAGCTATAGATTGGTGAGGATTACAGATCGAGGCTCATGCTGTAATCCTCACCTCTCGTGTGAGCTAACGGTAGGGTATTTTCACTTGGTTTATATTCCAAAAAATAGTGACTAATTAGTGACTATTACGTACAAAAGGTGAGAGATATTCGCTTTGTAGTTCCGAAGTTATGAGTGCATCTTGGTGAGGATTATACCTAAAGCAAATTTGCTATAATCCTCACCTCATTTTCTGCTGAACGCTTTGGTCTTTTAATTAAAATGTAGTATCAAAAAATAGTGTTGAAATAGTGTTCTTAAAATGCATTGTTATTTATTTAATTTAATAAGTAAAAGCCATTTAAAATCCCGTAATAACTTCTTCATACCGTCTTATTATCTCATTACTTCAGGTACCGTCGCGAACACTACTGAATATAATGGAGGTAATGTTTTGTATGTAATCAAATAAAACACACCTATTATTTCCCTTCAACTGTTTTTTTTTTTTTGTGTCTGTTAGTACATAAATAGAGTGTGCCGTGTGGTGCCAGCAGAGTAGAATAGCACCACCCCCTCTCTTCCCGTGGGGGTTGTAAGAGGCGACCGAGGGATAAACCCGACCCAAACCGCCAGGACCAACCGTATGGTGGCGGTTAATCCACCACAAACGCATAACCAAGGAGGGTTGACGTCTGGTAGGAGGCCGGTCGTAAAATTCAGCCAAATCCTTTTGCAACACGTTTTTGTGTTCAACGAAACGTGTTGCGCCGACCCCAAGTAATTGGAATAAGGGCAGGAAGATGATGATGATGATGTTTGAGCACTTACGTAAGTATTGTAGACAACTCTAGTTACTCAAAGTCCACTCTAGGTTCATTTAAAGTCCATTAAAAGAGGGAAATTAATAATAAATAAGATAGTCAAGGAAATAATAAATAAACTAAGAATAGTTTT